ACATCCACTATGATGTTTGAAGTCTGTCAGAGGTTACTGGTGTGGTGAGGCGCTCCGAGCAAAGTCAGGGTCATTTCACACTGACATGTCTGCTCCCCCCTCTGAATTGTAATACTCCTAACAACCTGACAACCACTGCCCCCAAAAGACAAGCCGGGATGACTGATGACAACAACAAGACCTCACTGGGAAGAACCGTCTTGACCCGAGAAGGGCTGTGTTGTAGACCGAGGGCAGACTTGCTTGTGTTCAACTCACTGGAGACATGCAGAGGAAATGTTTGGATGGATCTCTCACGGATTCACAAGACTCTTAACAACGAGAAGATTTAACTCTGGTGGTTTAATGTTGTCTTTTGTTCAACTGGCTAACCCCCAATTTACACCAAGCCTCGTAAAGATAGACAGACAGCTCCAAGAATAGCTTTTAATTGTAATGAGCCTGGCAATTTACTCCAGTGAAGTGAAATTACACTATGCGCTGCTTTTAATAGGCTAAAAATTGAATTCACGTACCCTGGCTTCAATCTTTCAATCATGGAGCTGAAAAGAAAAAGGCATAGGAAGTAAATTTCCTTTCTACAGAGGTCATATTAGGACCATCATTTCAGCAGATTGTCCTGATACCGTATAAATTGCTGTTTCATGTTGAGACCTCAAACAGGATTAAACATAATGGCCAAGGAAAAATAGCAAGAAAAAAACCCACATATGCATATTTAAATGACCTATTTATTAGTTTATCATGTTTTGTTCCAACGCAGTTCTGAAAGCACAGTCTGGGTTTGCTGGGGAACTTGGCAGCGGCACAGAAGCAGGCTTTAGTGCGGGGAGGAGAATCTGCCTTGGAGATGAAGTGTGTGTCAACAGGAATGCCTTCAAGATGGCCATGGCTTTGCTGAGTGCGCAGACAGCGGGGATCGAAATATGAGGAGCATGTTGAATGTTGCTGACTGTCTGGTTCGTGGGGCCTGCCCTCTCTCGCGCCCCTCAGACACACTTTTGATGTACAACGCATGTTTTGGCTCGTGGTTACAACCTGGGTCTTTTACCGCTTGACTTCTCTTTTGAAAACGAGTTCTAGGTTTCTTTTTAAGTACCTGCAAGATATCCAATTATACTTTTGTATTCCGAGTGTCTTTGCTAGAGGGGAAGGTTGAGACTTTCTGATTGTTAGCAGCCAGACTTCCGCTTGCTCTGAAATTATGGGTGAGATGTAGATGTAGATGAAAAACATGTGTCATTACAGATACAGGGATCGGATCTCTTTCAAGCTGTAAAGTTTTGACATAGCAGCAGTCCAAGCCTTGTCAGCTCTTCATCAGTCATGATGGGATCAGTACCCACATAAAACAGGATTTTTCAAAAGAACTCTGGGAAATTGTGGCCTCAAAAGACTTGAGAAGACAGTATGTTGTTTTCTTTAGTTCTAGCCTACAAGGATTTTAAATTACTTGATAGGAAACAAGTTGTCTTTGAAAAAGCAAAGGAAGGTTTCTCACCCATCATCTGTACTTCTTAGCAAGTTTTCCCGATGTTTCGTCCTCAAACTAGCGGACTTCTAGCGGAAGTCCGCTAGTTTGAGGACGAAACGTCGGGAAAACTTGCTAAGAAGTACAGATGATGGGTGAGAAACCTTCCTTTGCTTTGACTAATACCTGTACGACTGAGAGCTTACACAAACTTACGTTGTCTTTGAAATAATATTTTTTGTAAAAGGGTGTTTTATGTTGTGGCTTCAAAGCTCCCAAAATGCACCATTATCCAACTGCTATATTTTAACAGACCACAGTTGGGGAGCCACACATTCTAAATTAGCTAGAATGTGATGTAGCTAATTTATCTAGCTATTTTATAGATCTTTCAATCCATAAAATTGTATGTAACAAAATCCATATGACAAGCTCCATGCTGTTGAAACAGTTTGGTTTTCACATCTTTACAAGTCAAAAAAGAGGTTAATCAGCTCTTAATTAAAGACAATAAACAAAAGATATACCATCATTTGGAGGGAAGGTGTTATTTTTTTTATTTTATTTTTTTATCTTGGCCCGGTTTATCATGGAAAGCAGTGGTTCTAATTGTGTACTGTCTGTTAAGCATTTTACAAGGAAAGGGACTTCTTTATTAGCCAAGAGACCAAAAAAGCTTGTTAGCAACTGTTGCCATGACCAAAATGTAGAGAAATGTGTTTTCCTACATTTAACAAATTTAAATATGTTAAATGTTAAGCAATTTAATTATGAATACAAACCTTATCAGTGACTTTATAAACCAAACTAGAAGTTAACTGTTCATTGCTGTAGGTTACGGTGACTACAAAGTTATATAGAATCTGTAATTTAATTAGGTTAAAAAATTAATCAACAGTGGTTTGCATTGGAATCATCACTGACCATGGTTTAATGTTATTATTAAATAGTCGATGTTTCCATACATTTATACACATTTTAATATCTAGAAATACAAATCAACCAAGCAGTGAGAAACTCATATGGTGTCTGAGGTATTTTGCTTTGTTTTTCTTGACTACAATGTGTGTGACGAGTGTGACAATATATTGATATCGTGATGTATCGTGATACTTTCTCACGCAATCAATAATCAATATGCTTTTGCCAAGTATCGATTAAAAAAAACAAAAAAAAACATATATATTATTATTATTTTTTGTTTTATTTTTTTAAAATTTGTATCAATACTTAATATATGGCTACATTATGCATCTCCGGTCCATTTATCCTGAAATTAAGTGTATTTTTTCCCTTAAAATGTTTCTTTTGTTTATGCCAATATGTGCTGTATTTGAATCCAGAGTTGAGAATTAGTTAATAACCTACATTTATAACTATTTAGTGTTTATTCAGATGGCTTTACTAAAATATTTCTATAACAGTATATTTCTGACCAATGTATTGATAATCGTCATAAAGTGATATAATCGTTATTGTGAGCTTTGTATCGCGTATAGCACATGTGTCAAAGTCAAGGCCCGCGGGCCAAATCCGGCCCGCGAATGAATTTTACATGGCCCGTTGCCTGCCATTGACGGACTATTACGTCAATTGCGTTTTCCGCTATTTTCATGTTCCCAGATGTCTATTATATCTAATATGTATGGGGATAAGCTTGAGAGCATATTGAATCGAGCCAGCAGGTGGCAGCAGCGCTCTCTGAATGGTTTGAAAACAGCTAGATGCACTTGTTGTGCCTCTTTTTTCTCAGCTTTTTGGTGATTTCAGTAAAACTTCCCTCTACTCAACTGGGGGTTACAAGCTAGAAACAAACTTATTTTTGCTGATGATAGTAGACAGTCTATTCTTTCAGAATCTGGTTTCGGATTTCAGATAGTCATAGTACACAATATTCTGTGGGTCTTGAAAAATCTATAAAAATCATCAGAAACTGCTGGAAATATGGGAGTATCTGTTCTGAAATAGGCTGGCAGGCAATGAGTTAATAAACATTGAACCAGTCCGGCCCTCGGCTCGCAGCAAATTTGTTTTTTTGGCCCTCTGATGTATTTGACTTTGACATGCCTGGCGTATAGTATCGTATCGTGAGGTACCCTGAGGTTCCCACCCCCACTTTTTCTTCTTATTTCTTCTTATTTTCACATTATAGAAAACAAGACGATGTAATTGTGTTTAAAATACTCAGAAAAACAGCCTTCTGAAGTGTGCTTTGCCTCAACTGTTGACAGATGACAGTGTCGCGTGTGGCATAAAAAATGTATGAAAAAGACTATGACCTTGAGAAGATGGCTGCTTTGATCTCCATTCTCCCTCCTTTGTGGAGTTTTTGTTTTACATTTTGTGAAAAATTCCTCACCAAAAATCCTTGAAGAATAAGTGTTGCTATGTTAAAATGTTTTTCTGTCTCTTCTGTGCTCTCTCTTTCTTTGCCTGCTCAGTCTAATAGCTGATAATGTAATTGCGTTTTCATCAGAGGGAGCCTTAATGATTGACTGGAGACTCTGGGTTGTTTTGTGTGCTGTAGGGAGATAAGCCTGGTTCAGTAACACTCTGCCTTTGGATGGATGGTTTGATCAATGCTTTCTCAGTCTTCGTCCGTCATGGTTACTCAGAGCTACTGTATGTTTTGATATGAGATAGCTGTCTTTGAGCGAATACTCTATTGCTGGTATTACTACCCGCAATCACACTAGTGATAATCGAAACACTTCCCTATCCATCCATCCATCCATTTTCTTCCCCCGAATCCATTTCTGGGTAGGGGGGGTGGCAGTCAGAGCTGCACCCAGGACACAGAGCACCAGCCCCGCACTGATCCTCCTGCAGGTGGTGAGTCCACAGGAGCCTTGATCTTCCAGCGGGGGCTTTTGCAATTTAAATACTATGATATCCAGGGGAATAACTCGATGAAACCATTTACTCTTCACATGTAACGATGGAAACCTATACTTCTGAGACAAGGCCAGCAGATGCATTTAAGAGCACATGGAAGATTCATGTATATATTAGAAATGTATTTGGATGCATATAGGGGACTCACTCATTTTGAGCAGTACACTGTCCCTTGCCACACATGTTTTATTGTGTAAAAGAATTTCCTGACTTGTGCTGGTCACCGATGAGAAAAAATAGTCTTGATTTACCCTCCGAAAAAGAGATGATACCTCTCAAGGGGCAAGCCATAATAAGTAAAAAAAATAAAAGACAAGAAAATGTGCGTATGTTTGTGCTTGGTGAACATATAATTGAGAGCTGCACTGATTGGATTTACACTTGACATGTCTGATACCAACATTATTGTTACTTTCATACAACAAGAGATAGTCAGTCATCAAAAAATTGCAATTACAGGTCAATCCATGAATGCATTCTATGTTTCCATTATAGACCTTGTAGAGCCTAATCTTCTGTTTTCTCCCATGTTACCAAATCGGTGTCATTGTGGTGGTCTTGCTGCTGCTTCTTCTGCCTAATTGGCCACATGTCTGGACTGTTGCCTGACCGATACTGATGCTCTTCCTTGCAGGTTTTGAGCTGCTGTATCAGCCTGAAGTGGTGCGTCTGTACCTGTCTCTGCTGACCGAGAGCCAGAACTACAACACTCTGGAGGCCGCTGCGGGCGCTCTGCAGAACCTCAGCGCGGGACAGTGGACCGTGAGTCTGGGGGAGGGACAAACACAACGACATATAACAGAAAGGTTTACTTATCATGCGCTTTATAGATCGCATTGTATATGATAATTGTGCTCAGGGCGATGAGCTTTGGGTAGTGGCTGAAAGGACGAGATTGTGGATACATGCGGTCGAAATGAGAGGTTGGTGCTTCCTTAGAGGTGGGATGATGAGATAAATCACATGGAAGGAGCTTGGATAAGAGCCCCTGCTTTTCCATGTCGAGAGGAGCCAGTTGAGGTGGTCCTGGACGCATCTCTGGAGAGATGATCTATGACCATAGACATGTTGGAAGGGATTTCACACTGACTGAAATACCGACATTTTTGACCACACTGCTGTCATCATAAGTTGAGTGATGGAGATGCTTTGATATTTAGCCTTACTGGTTAAATTCTTTAATTAAGGATATTATAATAAGTGTGTATCCCGCATAATATATGATCACAGTTTTGAATGATTACAGAATAATTTCTAATAATTCAAATATTTCTTCCCATCAGTGCAGTCTAACTTCATTTTCATGTTAAATGGTTGATTTACAGTGACAGTGCAAAGGCCTAGTCCTCACATATACTGTAGTGTGTGATCTGACAGGAGAAATTCCCAAATTTGGAGGCTTTTGTTTTAAAAGCTCCATCCATGACTTCACAGTCTAAACATTTGTCATAGTATGCGATTTGAGCCTTTGGATTGAAAGGGTGGAGTAATTTTTACAATGCATTGTGTTAAGCTAATGCATTGGTAATACACATTTCAGTTTTATGTCCCCTATCATGGTTCTCTAAGTGATTACATATGAATATTAAATTGTATGATTGAAATTGGATCAAGCACTTGACTAATGGCAAGTGTAACGACGTTTAGATTTATTTGTTAATCCTTGCCTTGGTTGGAACCCCTGAACTACTGGTGCAATTATAGGATTAGATCAGGGTGCGCTCAGTCCCTCTGTGGGTGTGTTTGCTGCTGAGGGAGGCTATGAGAGCTGTGGCTCACATTTATTCCAATTAGAGAAGCCTGGTGCTCTGTCTCTCGCTAATGCAGCAGAGAATTATCAACATGGCGGCCGAGCTGTCAGATGCCAATTTGCACTTTGCACCTCAGGCTGGAGTGGTCACTTGTGTTTTTCACTGAGCTGGTCGTATTCAGCCTGCGGGAGCATTATCACCGCCGCACGTCTTTTCACACCCATGTGTCACTCTATAAACACATTCGTCAGTGTTTTGGATTCTGGCTTCACTTGGCTCGCTCACTGCAGCCTGTAAGTTGTTCAGCAGATCTTGAGTTTCACATTTTCTGCCCTGAATAATTCATTAGTAATGATTTTTTACCAAGGGGGTGTTTTGAAAGGATGCCTTCTCAGATAGCAGTATTTTGGGGTTGGTGGAGATCTTCTTGCATGCTGTGTCCCAGGAGGGGAGATCTATCGGTCCGGTTCATCTGGGCCTCTGACAGAACCTGTCCCTTGTCCCTAGGAGGATATTTTAGCTTTTTTCTGAACCCTCATTCTTCACTCAGCCAGTATTCTTCAAAGGCTTTCTACTGCCACCTTGTGGTGCAGTTGTTCACAGCTCTGTCTAATTACATCTCAGGGGGTATAGTTACTCAGAAGAGAGGCTCTTTTATGTCACACTCAATGTTTCATGTTACATGAAAATGAGAAGTAAAATGCAGTGATGTTTAAATTAAGACAAATGATATCATGTTCATTGTAAATCCCCTCCGTGCAATGCTGGGAAGTCAACATCACTTCAGACAGAATGAGGGGTGAGTGTCCTACTAAAAATACCCTCCCACACCTCTGCTAATGTTAAACTCTTGACCCTGACTTCTGTGGAGCATTCCCTCTGGTTCTAAGCAAATGGATGAGGTCAAAGGGGGCAGTTCCCATGGTAGGAAACAGTACATCTGTGAGAATGTCAAACAGGATGTTTCTGATGACATTCGGTTCTGTTTAACTGACCTCCTGAGATGCAAAACGACTGTTTTTAACATACTGTCCTTGTATTTTACAGTGGTCAAACTACATTCGTGCCACAGTGCGTAAGGAGAAAGGGCTTCCCATCCTGGTGGAGCTGCTGCGTTCCGACTCAGACAAAGTGGTCCGAGCTGTGGCCATCGCTCTACGGAATCTCTCTATTGATCGACGCAACAAAGACCTGATAGGTAGAGCAAGGACAAACGCATTCATATCCCTTTAGAGACATGGCCATTGTACAATACAGCTAATATATTATGTTTTATTTTGATTTTGCTCACTGAAAATATGTCATAACATTATTAGGAAGCTACGCCATGCGGGACTTAGTGAGCAACCTGCCCAGCGGTCAGCAGAGGCCAGCCAAAAACCTGGAGGAAGACACTGTGGTTGCTATACTCAACACCATCCACGAGATCGTGACGGACAGCTCAGAGAACGCTCGCTCCCTCATTCAAGCACAGGCCATCGAGAAGCTGGTGGCGATCAATAGGACAAGGTGATTTTGGTCAATTAAATTTTCTGCATTTTCTAATATCATGTAAGAAATGACATGTGTAAACAAGACTTATTGTAGAATATGTGTGTGTAGAATAAGCTCACATTAGACACACTGAATCTGTCATAATTACTGCGTGACCTTGAGCACCATTTGCATTATCATCTGGCATTATCAGTATTCATGCAGGATAATATAATGTGTCTCTAATGGGCTCTATAATACTATCTGCTTACAAGTCTGTGCCCACACACTCAGAGCCATCCATTAATTAACAAGGCTTTCATAACCAGAGGGCATTGTGAACTGGCCTGCTTATGCTTTTGATGTTTCCTTTCTATACAGTCCGTTTAGAATAGCTTACAGGAAGTGTTTTGTGCGATGTATGTGTGAAATATGTGGGATTTATTTTACATTTAAGCATCGATTTCCAGTTATGGCGTTACTATTGCACACTCACCCACTCTATATGGAACAAATTTCAACTTCTTAAAAAAAGCTGTCGTTGAATACTGCATTATTCCCATGGCGTAAGCTGTGTCTCAGAGGTAGATCTTTTTTTTTTTTACATGTTTTTGTCTCAACATTTCAGCCAATCCTCTCGTGAGACAAAAGCAGCTTCACATGTTCTACAGACAGTGTGGAGCTACAAGGAGCTGAGGAACGCTCTGACCAAGGACGGGTGGAACAAAAGCCACTTCCAGGTAACCAATTATTTAGAATTTCCAGGTAACCAACTATTAGAAGTTGCTTTGATTTGCGATATTACATCTTTTATTTCTTCTGAAAGCCCACAGTAACATCGACCCCGAAAGCAACAAAGAATGGTAGGACAGGCTACGACGACACCACTTTACCACTAATGGAGAAAAACCAAGGTTTGTTCAATTACAATATATTTTTTGTCATATGAACATTTCCTTTTCAAAAACAGATACGTGTCATTGGAAAACTATTTGAAAGGCTTACAATTTGCCCTTTACCAATTAGTCTCCAGATCTATGTTAATGCCATCAGTAAGTAAGTAAAGTTTCACCCCTTCTCGGGCCAATCTTTTCAAATTTACTGCCAATAACAAAACATGTTGAAGATTGTAGCTGGAAGAATACATCTTTTTGACACATTTTCAAATGAGATGTGTTTTTTTTTATTTGCGAATGAGTGTTGCAAAAACAGATGGTGATATTGTGTAACTCTCTCTGTGGAGCAATTTCTTTAATTTTATCGCTCAGAAATATCCTCTGTAAATATATACAGACTTATTTCATATCACATGAGAAGGCTTACTGGTCCCATACTGTGTCATGTCTTGTAAAAGTAGGTTTGTGAACAAATGAGATCACAATACTGTCCATCTTGCATACTTGTAAGAAAGAACCCTGTGAGTCACTATTTGACGTTTTGGGCTGAGAGCTGATTGGCTGAGTGAGGGTGGTCCTCCCTGTTTCACATTTCTGTCAGGAAAAGCAGATGTGATTGAGGCCAAAAAGACATGCGAAAGCCAGTGACATAACCAAACTAGAGAGGAACAAGTTGCATGGATTTCATCACACTTTTCCATTTTATGTTATTTGAAAAATACGTACTTAAACTTTTAGCAATTAATCAACCTTGAAGCAAATTAGGGGATGGTTCCTCCACCTGAATTAGTGCCATGTTATTACATTTGATGCAACTGGGACACATATAGGACATGTTCATATTCTATTGAAAAGTGAAGAAACATTTCAATAGTGCTTTGCATATTAATCAACTTTAAGTCTTAGCCTCCCACGGCAGAAGCAGCAGTATGCACAGTGTATACGGAGGGGGTTGAAGTAGTTTGGCCAAGCATCAAACATCTCGCCGACAGAGGAGTCAATAGCACAGCAGCAGTTTCAATGCTTTGAATCTTGGACCACTGCCTCCCTTTTTCCTACTCACAAACTACACTTGCCAGCCCACCCTTCATTTTCATTATTCAATCATTGGCTGACACCCAGTACCTGGAATGCCGTGAGGTTTTTGGCCCATTCTCTGTTTGCTGCTGTTGTACAAATAGCACTTAAGTGGTTTCCAAACTCCATTAAATGTGGCGTAGTTGATATGAGACCTATGTGCGAGTTTGGCCAGGTTCGACTTTACAAGTTGCCAATGAGTAGATTTTGTAACTCTTCCCAATATATGCAGCTCGGTAATTTTTTAAACCAACATGTTATTCTCTGTCATTCTGACGTATCTCAAGATTGAAAATAATTAGCTGCTACACCCCACATCATTTATCCACGATGAACTGAAATTAGAATATTGTTCAAAAGTTCATTTATTTCTGTAAATCTACTGATGTCAAGCCCTCAACTTGTATTAGACACCACAATGTGTGTAAATATATTGTACACTTACTTACGGTATACAATAAAGCAACAAACTCTATTGTTTTTAGTTAAATGGAATGTAGAATAAAAATATTAGTGGTATAATAATAAAACAAAATACTTTAGTCTAATGTTTATATTAGAGGTCGACCAGGGGTGGGCTGATTTTTACATATATTAGCTACACTTGAATATTTTGTGCAGGCTCGGACAGCTGCTAAAGCAAAACAATGCTCTGTAAGCCGACATTTAGACCGACATTTAGACCCAGTTCACTATTTAGCTACTGAAGCAACGGATCCTAATTCTTACATAGAGCACTATTTATCAACAGCCACAGCTATTTAACAATCTTAAATAACACACAGAATCCTTAACAGTAAGATTTCTTGGTAAATAACACAAGAAACTCTGAGGAGGTTAACATAAGCTCACATTAAAGATCTGCATAAAGTTTTGTCCGTATTAGCCTTAACACTATAAAAGCTGTATTTTTCTGAGCCCTTGACAAAAGTGGCAACTTTTAGGCCAAGAGTTACAATATTTGTTATTTGTTTTGTTAAATAACCTGGCCTACTAATTATAATTATCGCACCAGCCCTGAAAAAACCACATTGGTTAAAATATTCAGCAATATATCTCACTTGCAGATGTCGCGTTTGCAATGAATAAATGTATAATGTGTTTTAGTCTTAAACAGAGGAGCAGTCATTTTCAGCCCTTTAGGTCTAATTTAATCTTTTTTACACTGCAGCACTTGGAACGGAGTGCTTTTCAAGATGCTTAATGAGGACAAGGTCACATTCTCTCCTGCTTGTAAACCTTACATGATGAAATGGAACCTATAGAAACAGAGATTAAAAAATGAATCAAAGCTTAAACGTAATGCAGCCTGTTGTGTCAGACAGAAACCCTACTCTTCACAGACTAACCACAGCTCTGTTCTCTGCCCTCATTAGACGGCTACACCACCATTGACCACCGAGACAAGGAGTGCAAATACAGGAACGACGGATCGGTGGTGGACATGACAGAACGGGAGCCTCTGAAGGTACACGCTCTTGTTAGAGAATGACACCTAAAATGAAGAATGGTTTTCTCTTTAACTTTGTCCCCATATGTGACAGGCCGCATAGGATATACTGTATATGAAATTCATGTCTATAGATTGTGAAGAAAATGATAAAATTGTACTTTTGGAAATGTGTCCTAAAATGTCTTAAAATCTATCAAACTGGTTTTATCACTCTGCGATCGTATGCATGTATACAGCTACAAAAAAAATATGTTAGAGAAAGTAGCTACAAACTAAGACTATAAATCTCACACACATTTTTTAGCTGTCCTAGACCACAATGTTAAACTATAGACTCTTTGGAATGTCGGGATGTCATATGAACGCAACCTATTGCCTTAACATACACCGGTAGTTTCCCAGAATCGCTAAAGCTATAACGACAACCGATGACTTCCTTTTTGTTGTTAAAAGTCTGAGCCTTATTAGTAGTTTTAGTATCACTGATTATATCCAATTTAAATGCAGTCTTCCTTGCCCTCGTGGTGACTGACTGTGGTGGTCTCATCATTAAAGGCCCTTAATCCCCTCTGCTCTATTCAGCGGCGGGATGTTGTCATTCGCCGTTAATGTGTTCAGCACTTTGGACAGCTCCAGATCTGAGAAACTCTGTGTAATGGGACTTTTTGCTGCTGGCGTCTACAAAGTAATTAAACTGGGAGTGATTAAAGAGACCGCCAACAAAAAGCTCCTCATGAAGACGACCCTTGGTTTGGCATTGAACACTGGAGTGCCTTATCAAGTGCCTGCTGGGTTGATTGCACAGCTGCTTGAGACCAGAGCCCGTTTGTTTGTTTGTGGTCTAGTCCATAATCCAGCCTCAAAGAGAAGTCACAGGAAAATGGCCCCAGAGGACACCGCCTCGAGTCATTCTACGAGAAAAGGTCTTTGGCGGCTTGATTAGGTTGAGCTCAATTCAGTGGAGGATATGAGATGTTTTGAATTATGTTTTCGTACCTAATATTCCACAGCAAGGTCAGAAGAACACAAGGGATTATGGGCAAATAAGACACACAGCCTAAGATCTATATTTGATCCCATTATGTTAGTTTTACGTTGATAGAGCATATTAAGGCTGCAAAAAGATACATTGAGGTGACTGGTGTTTTCAGATGGTTAGAAGTCAGTAAAACAGAGTTTGAATGGAGCTAATGGTTGGGTAATCTGCAACTAGACTCCATATAATCTGAGAGCTAAATGTGGGATACCTAACTTTTTGGGGTAATAATGAAGTTATAATTTATTGTCTCCAGGGAAATTCGTCCTCATCCTGACAATTTCCAATAGGGCAACTTGTCAGGATCAGTTGGAAGGGGACCCATCTCCAGATGTTGAGGCTCCACTTGGTCAGGACGACCAGAGTTGGAGGATTTGAACTACTGCACATGTTTTGCAGCGGCACGGTGGCTGAGTGGATAGTACCCTCCCCTCTCAGCTAGAAGGTCATGGGTTCAACTCCTGGCAGAACAGGATGGAGTTTGAGTGGAGTTTGCATGTTCTCCCTATGTCTGTGTAGGTTTCCTCCGGGTGCTCCGGTTTCCTCTACCTCTCGAAAAATGCTCAATAGATAAAATCCTCCATCTCTGATAGTCCTGACCAAGCCGAGCATCAACATCTGGAGATGGGATACATTTCCCTACGGTGACAATAAAGTGCACTTTTTTAAATTTATTTTTAATTTAACATTCTAGTGGTATGTCCACAGTGTTAGTTCCAACAGCAACTAACACTGCCTACTTTTGAACAAATCAAACCACAACATGCTGTCTTCATCAAATTAGAAAACTTTTATACTTTGTAAACTTGTAATGAAAACCCCAGGGAGTCACTATTTGACACTTTGGGCTGATAGATGATGGCCTGAGTGACGGTGGTCCTCCTTTTACAGTTGAAAAGGCTAATCGACAGACCAAACAAAACTTGCATATGAAAACTACTATTATGTTACAGTTGCATTGTTTGTCTTTAGAATATACATACCCCAGCTTAAAATCTGTTTCATCATGAGTGACGGTATATATCATTGTTTGGAATATGCAGTTGGGACGAGTTGTAAAAGCCTTCATTAGGATGTTTTTACTGCTATTTGTTTATTTTAGGTTATTTTATTTCATACATTTTGTGTGGGTTGGAAATTAGTTAACCCAGTTTTAATGAACTCAATGAATTAATCCTGAGACATTCAAACATACTTTTGATTTTGTCCTACTCATTTAACAGTGAAAAAGAGTTTGGGGTTAGAATATATACAGTACATGGAATTGATTTCAGCCTAAGGTAGAAAAGCAGTCTGTCAATAACATGGTTTGAACTTATTGAAATCAAAAGTAGCTTAAAGGGAGGTGAAAAGTCTCCCCTGAAGAGTGAAAGACAAGTGAATAAGAAGCACATCATTTTCTTAATAGCAGACAGCGATGCAGTGACGCTTTGAAGCTGTAGATATATTCATTCAAGACAGTCAATACTATTTGCTGTGGTCTTTGGAGAGTACAGGGCCCGAGCTTTTCACCATCTGTATTTGCCGGAGGTGCCCACTGTAATTTGAATGCCACTTCTATCTGTTCTCTCTTTCTTTCTGTCCTCTGCATGGCTCTATATAATCACTATACAATCCGCGTTCCCTAACACAGAATTCTTTGATCCTGTAGGTGCCTGTCTTGGAATTTAAAAAACAAGTTCTTGGTTAAATGTATTGACTTTTCTCCCCCTTTGTTTTGCTGTGTTTGTGGTTTCTGCTGATAACGCTTGCCACAGAATGACACAAATAGGAAGCACTATATCAGGAGTAACAGGCCGGCAGTCAGTCTGGTGGACGCGTGTGATGTAAAGCCCCAGCCTGTAGACTCCTGGGTCTAAAATGCATGCCGGGTAGGTCAAGCGAACGGCACCCAAACCAATTGGGTGTAACGTCACATTAGTTACTAGTTTGTTTGTTCGCCCTGTCTGCTTTTCACCCTCCTTTCACCCTGTTATGCCATCTCTGAACTCCAAAAAATACATTCACATTCACAACACCAACACAAAGCCCTGGTTGTGACCTTGGTCTGTGAAATGTGCTAGTCAAATCAAGATTACTTACTTACTCACTACAATTAACTGTACAGAACAGAGGGAATATTTAACCACATACAAAGCTGTCTGAAATAATCTTCACTCAAGCATAGAACTATCATTACACAAATATAAGCCAAGCCATAACTCGTCCACTTGAAAAAAGGAGACCTCGCACTGTATCTTCTTATAAAAGCTGTTTCCATGACTACGGCTTCAGAATTATTTCTGTAGTCTGCACTTCTGAGAAAGAAAAGGATTTGTAATAGCAGCGCTACTGGTGCTTTATATTATATACTTGTAACATCTAAAATGTTGTTAAAAGTATATAAAAGCTTGGCATAACTATCAGGGCTGCAGCTAATTGATTATTTAATTACCTATTGTCATCAACTCATTTTATATTAGCTGAACCTTCCATAGACCTAAACATGCTGAAAAGAGGTTTTTATGACTCAGGTAATTCTATAATGACTCCAGAATGACATGAAAATTCCAATGTTTACAAGTTTTACAAGTACATCTCTATGATAATGTTCTCAAGGGGAATCACTTGAGAATTGTTTTGGTCAAAATCCCATGTTCACTGACCTTTCAGGATCTAAACAACCAATCGATTGCCCTAATAACTATATCACACTCAAATGTTCAGTGACTTTTGTTTGTAGCTCTTGATTGAGCGGCGCAGCCTGATTGAAATGTATGCCGAGCTCCAGGGACAGCCTCCCCTTGAAAGACTTAGCAGAAATTGGTGGTAAATGATGAAGGGGAATGGTTCTTGTGCACTCCAAAGAGCATCCTCTGGAGACACAGTTATTTCCCAATGAAAGCTTTAGCAGCAAAGATAAATATATGCACACAGACACTCATAGAATCTATTTCAATGCATTCGTTTCCAGAGGTCAGAGCAGAAAGATGAATAATGTATGCGTTCTCATAAGTTGACAATATACTTCTCGAGATGAATACAAACCAATACAAATGTTATAATACAGATTTTAATGTATTTGAAAAAAAACTGTGATACAAGTGAAGATATGTTGTAGTTATAATAATTATATAGTAAACATTCACCAATCATTCTTTATCTGCGCAGTGGAATCACATTGAAATGACTGTAATCTCATTATCTCATTAAAATCACATCCTGTCGTACGATGCATGCATGCAATCATGTCTTCATTGCATGTTTCACTAAAAGCTCCATAACATGTGGAGCTTTTCCCTGTGGGTGTGCTTCAGCCTCTCTCCTTCTCTGCCTCCCTCCTCATCCTCACCTCTTTATCTCAGCCCTGGTTTAGTGCTCCATCTTCATCCGTGCCATTGTAGAAGTGCTTTACCTCTGGAGAGCTCCGCGAGGAGTAGTGTGTGTAGTGATGTCTGTAATGAGTAATTAGTGAAATGAGAGTACAGGTAAGGATACGCCATGTCATTGTCTGCACATCTGTCTCATTTACATGTGCGACGACCGATGCCTTTCATTCATATTTGTTGACTTGTTGTTTTCCAAATCTAAATACGCCTTACCAATTGATGAGGACAGAGTTAGCACTTTTAAGCATTACCAAGACGATTTAGCGGATTTGAATTGGCTTTGTCACACCGCATAGTGATAAAGAAAATATATATATATTTTTTCAATTAAAAGACGCATATATATCAGTCCCTCCAGGAGTTTTAATGTTGCGTTGTAATTTATTATCTCGATTCATTGTTTTAACTAAATGCACTCAAGCACTCACACAGCTCATCAAAGTCAAGAGCCCAAAGTGCCGTACACCCCACAATGGTTAACGTATTAAGACATGAAAACACAATATCGCAGAAAAAAACAGCATACAAATTTGACATAAAAAACTAAAATCCAGAGTCAGCTCAATTTGTGCGAAAGCCAAAGAAAAAAGTGTGTTAAAGTGCTGTAGTGACTCTGACGTACAAGGGCACTCTCAGGCTCAGATTATGTAATATTTTCAGATTCTGGTCATATTTGCATTATGTAAGAAATATTTTCAATAACTTTTTTAATAACTACCCTTAAATCAGTTATTTAGGTTTGCAACAATCATTAAAAATGCCCCCAACTCCTGAAAGTACTGATATTTATTTTCAATGAACTGAGATTTGGACAACAACTTCTGCAAACTGCGCTGAACGGTTCTAACATGTTTTTATTTTTGTTTTTTTGCAGGCTTAACATTAAAGCGAGGAGGAGGAATTCATATCACCACTGCCATTTCACGAAAAGCCACATGGAGAAGACTTTGTACAGAAAAAATAAAGAAATAAATGAAAAGGAAAAAAAAAAGATCACAACTGCGAACACTCAGAAGCAGCCGACGTTTCCTGCTTTTGAAGAAAAACATATTTTAAAAAAAACACCCACAAAAATGGATCACAGTTACTGCAACTTTTCTCATATCACATCAACATTCCCACTGGACTGAACACCATGTGAGTTTTTTACCATAGTGACTCTTGTGGAGCGCTTTACCAATGCAAGCAAACAGACTGGAGGCCGGTTCTGAAGGAGATTAAACAATGAAGGATTGAAGGAGATAGAAAAGATGGCAAATATTATGTTGGACGATGAATGGAATATTTTTAGAACGTTATACAGATCTTGTGCTTTTGCATTTGTCTCAAAGCCAGGAATATGAGCATGTGGGGAAAGCCAATGAATGTTTTACATGTTGGAATGGACATTTGAATGACAGAAATAGACAGCAAACCGAGCCGTAGCAAAGTCGAAGTACCGCAATTTTGCTATCAATAATTTAAAATACGTTTTGTCAACTGTGTTTTGAAAAAGGCTGCTTAGATATAAAAGAGACTTGTATCTGTGACGTCAAAGGAGATTGCATTTTGTTAGAGATGTGGAAGGGACTTTCTCCATATAAGGGGGAGTCTGCATACAGTAGAAATGTTTGCGAAGTTTGCAGCAAGTACTTTCTACACTGACAAAATCTTATCTATGAAGGATATTGCAAGTCGATACGGTACTATTTTCTACTTGCATATTACCCATCATGCTTTGCGCCTAAGAGAGGGGTGTCACACATATAAGCTGTTAATGATAAATGGTCACGTATGAGACTCATCAAGGAACCAATCTCACACACATACATGTTTGCTGACACACATGGGGAAGAAGGTTAAGTTTCTTGCCAAGGGACACACCAATGGGAGCTGGTTTCACACCTGCTCTGAGATGTGTGAGCTCCGATCGGAAAGCTGAGAAGGAAACCTATGCTGAGTTTGACACCGCAATCACGCAAAAACAATATGCCACTGACAATAGAAATAATCGCCATCTGCTGTCCGTTTGAAGAACTGCACACACCATTGTAACAATAGGAAGGAAATATGAGAATATGATGGATGGAATTTTCAAAATCAACTGGTTATGGTTTAGATTTTTCCAGCTTTGATTTTGTGTATTAAATCGATGGCTGCCTGCAATGCATTATGGGACTGCGCAAGTAGCGGATTAGTGGTTACAGCAAGAGTACAGGGCGTTGCTCTCTGCTAGAAATGGATAGATCTTACAAAAAAAGAAAAAAAGTGGTGGGTTTTTTCCTCCCTCATTTGATGGTTTTTATATAAATGTATATTGAGAACAAGGATATCGAATTCAACGACGGGAAATACGAAATTCGTAGTTGTTCGCAAAGCACATTTCAATTGATACAGCCAAGAAATAACGAGAAATGTGTGTCATCTATTTATATTTTGTATTGTCAAAAAAAAAAAGTTTATCTGTGTCTTTCATAAGCCAATGTTGTGATTTTATGCTTCTTCAACAATGACAGCGTGGAGGACGGAAGAAGGACAAACTTTGAAAAGATAAAATAATGGCATTGTTGTTAAATGTTTTCATAGCTTATTGCGCCACCATTTTGAATTCTTCACCAGTGCATCTTTAAGAGAGGTATTTTGTTGTGAGCATGACAAAAAACAATTGTACAAATGTTTATATTCTATTCTTTCCAAGTGCCAGTTTTCGTGGTGTCATTTGGATATTAACTAATTCATTGGTGTGCTAAAAGGATGGGATTTGAGGCCAATTTAAGGACACTGTACAGAGCAAACCACCATAGTATATATATATTTTTACAAAGAGCTAAAGGAGGATAGTATCGGGAATTATCAAAGGCAGCCATTTTGAATCTCTTCATTTTTATAAGACCGCAAACTAAGCCTCTAACTGTGAGATAAGGGAAAACTGGTCAAAATCACTCATTTTATAAAAGCAAACGGCATGCGCTTGCATCAAAGTCTGAATTTCCATTTTATTTGTGACTTTGTGGAGCTTGCATCTTTTACAGTGTTTACACAGATATGTGTCGTGGTAAAAAGTCAGTAAACAGAAATGTATACACTTTTCCTTTGAGCGTTTTAAAACAATATTATACAAGAATCCCTTCTTATGTGTGTCCTCAAAGGTCTGTGCTGTCTCTCGGTGATCATTTTGAAAAATCATTAAGCAGCACCACAACCAAAGGATTCTCTCAATATTGACAAAAAAGTACGAAATTCAAGAAAGGACACAATAATTCAAACCAACCTACCTGTGTAGATATTTTCAATCGACATTATAAAAATTACTGTACAACTCAGTAGCAGATGTGTTTGTACCTATCATGTGCCTTAACCTTTTCCATGGTAGTTCAAATATAAATGTGTTTTTATATCATGTTATTCCTCCCTTTTGACTGTCAATGCTCTCACCCTAATATGTATCCTCTGTCAGATCAACTTCTCCTTTAAAATAGTCCCCATGTTTTCCCAATGGTGCACCTATCCTTTCACTCCAAGTAGTTTTAGACTGTCGGTGGCTGAGTTCTGCCTTGTATAACATTGTATGATAAAGTTTCAAAAAGATAGTCATTCAAAAACTGGTTTTGATTTCCTAGAGGAGTAAAAATCATTTGGTAGAGCCGAGCCATGTCACAGTGACAGAATGTATTATGTTAATTTTACTAATACCCAGAGGCAAATATTACGCTTGTTAAACATAATGGAAAAATACTGGTTTGTAGAGTATAATAATTTGGTGTGTTTTCAATAAATCATGCCTGGAAAGAATTTGCAATGTGTCTGTGTCATGATGTCACTAATACGGATGAAAAAGATTTTTCCAGAATATGATAATTTGGTAATATGTAAGTTATCAGACTCAGATAGAGATGAGTGATGCATTTAGACTAAAAGCATCACTTTTAACCTAAAAAAGCATCGCACTTCTAAATAAAATATTCCCTGTATGCTTTCTTTAGTATACGTGTGTGTGTGTGTGTGCAAATTAAAATACATTACAAAAATAAAGTAATATACAAACAAATAGAACAGTGTAATTCAATTTTTACCCTCCATAGTTAATGTGTATTGGTTTAATTTATTTTGTTGGATGTGGTTACAAAATAATGCTTTATTTTTCTTCAGGCATTGAATAGGGCAGTATACGTCACGGTCGGGTCCTCAAAGCAAAACAATATGGCGGCCTTGTGCAGAGGGAGGCACCGGTGGAAAACAAAACATTATTTTAGTATCTTAACAAGAACATTATCCGGTAAGAAAGCAAGGAAGAGTGAATTATAGGAGTTATATCTAATTGATCATCCAATGTTGACTTTGGAAATGTGCTTCGTTCAGCGACAGGGCCTCGTTTATGTTGAATTAAGTGATGTAACTAATCTTTTATCCTTGACACAAGACAACTATTAGTCCATTTAAATGCTGTTGGAATTATAATAGAAGATACATATACGTGTGTTGTTTTAAGGGTGACATTCAGTCTTTATTGTGTGTGTGTGTAGGTAAATATGACTATGACCTAGTAGTTCTAGGTGGAGGCTCAGGGGGTCTGGCCTGCTCCAAAGAGGGTAAGGTCACAGCATCAAACTTGGATGTATTTTTAAAACACAAAAAGTTACTGAGCGATCATGTCTTTTCAGCTGCTCAGTTGGGTCAGAGAGTAGCCGTGTTGGATTATGTGGAGCCCTCAGCGATTGGTAAATATTCTGTGTATAGTATATATCCATTCACTTTTAATCCATAAAAGGAAAATAATTATAATTAAATAATTGATATTAAACAGGTACCAAGTGGGGTCTTGGTGGGACATGTGTAAATGTCGGCTGTATCCCCAAGAAGCTCATGCACCAGGCGGCTCTGCTCGGCACTGCGGTGAAAGACGCCAAGAAGTTTGGCTGGCAGATCCCAGAGCCAATCTCCCATGACTGGTACAATTCTAAAATTGCACATTTTTTATATAATTTCTAATTTAAACTTGTAATCTCTTATAAAATCTTGAGAGGCACATGGAGTAATTTTGTCTCAACACCACCACCTAGAGGCGTTTGTTGTGTTTTTGTTCAGGGAGACGATGGCTGGAGCGGTGCAAAACTATGTCAAATCTCTGAACTGGGGTCACAGAGTACAGCTCAATGACAAGTAAGTGGTTTTAAGATTATCCTGACATCTAATGCTTTCAAAAAATTAAATCAACTAAATGGTGTTTTTGACAATGACACCAACATAATATAATATGTAATATGTACATGGTTTATTTGAGCAAGGACAGATACAGGAAACATAGAAAAACTAGTACAGTAGTGTGATGCTTGCTTTTAGCCAAAGCTATTTCACAGCACTTTTCCCTTGTTTTTCATAAATGTTAGAATCTAGATATAATTGTATTTTTTTAAAATCTTGCATTGAATGTTATTTTTCACTCTTTTCTTTGATTATAATAACAAGAATTATTATGTGTTGATTTAAATATTATGTGTTTTACAGGAAAGTCAAATATCTGAACATGAAAGGAAGCCTGGTGGATGAACACACTGTTAAAGCGCTCAGTAAAGCAGGCAAAGAGGTGAGCAAATATACTGCAGTACAACAGCCCAAAGTCACTGATAATCGTCTGACAGTCACAATACCGTGAAGTAATCATTCACTCCACACCCAGTTGTGATATTCTACTAAAAGCCACATCTGTCCTGGGGTTGGCTGCTAATCTCACGCACACACCACATTCATATTTGTTTGGGTTTTTTTCACATTGGGTGTATTGCCGGTGGCTGAGTGGATAGCACTCTCGCTTCTCAGCAAGAAGGTCCTGAGTTCGAATCCCGGTCAGAACAGGGGCCTTTCTGAGTGGAGTTTGTATGTTCTCCCTGTGTCTGCGTAGGTTTCCTCCGGGTGCTCCGGTTTCCCCTGCCACTAAAAACATGCACAATAGGTATGAATGTAAATGAGAGAGTGAATGGATGGTGTTGATTGGAGCTGATGGTTCAGTGTGTTCGGCGACTCGCTTCTGTCATCACAGTGTGTGGAATGATTGGAACGATATCTGAACTCTGAACATTGTAAAGCGCTTTGGGTGACCTTGGTCTGTAAAATGCGCTATATAGATAAACATTACTTACTTACTTACTTGCCAAAGGACACATCAACACTATACCTACTGTACCTCTAAGTAAAAATTAAAATTGCAACTGGTCACCCCCTTCACTCCTGGATCTACAGCCTCAGTCCTGGATCTACTGTACACCCTCAGTCCTGGATAAACAGTCTCAGTCCTGGATCTACAACCTCAGTCCTGGATCTACAACCTCAGTCCTGGATCTTCAGCCTCAGTCCTGGATCTTCAGCCTCAGTCCTGGATCTACAACCTCAGTCCTGGATCTTCAGCCTCAGTCCTGGATCTTCAGCCTCAGTCCTGGATCTTCAGCCTCAGTCCTGGATCTACAACCTCAGTCCTGGATCTACAGCCTCAGTCCTGGATCTACAGCCTCAGTCCTGGATTTACAGCCACTGTTGTGATCTAGGGCCATTGACAAATACATTGATTTGCTATTTTTATTATTCCATGTTGCATTGGATGCATTTAATTGCTTAAATATAAGATAAGATAGACTTTATTGATCTCACACAGGAGAAATTTACAATAATATTTACTCTCTGTTTCTTGCGTTCAAAGACAACACTCACGGCTAAAAACATAGTGATCGCTACTGGAGGACGACCCAAATATCCCTCAAGTGTAAGTAATGGTATTTTTCTCCAACCACAGATATTTTCTTTTCTTTACTTTTACCTAATTTTTCCTGTTTTGCCTACTGCCACGCAGATTCCTGGAGCTATCGAGCACGGCATTACCAGTGATGACATATTCTGGATGAAGAAGTCCCCTGGAAAAACGTAAGTGCATATATTTTGAAAGTATCGATGCATGTTTAAAGTTGTATTGGGCTGTTCCTTGCATTTTTAGTGACATTATGCAAAATATGTTTCTTTTTTTTAATTACTTTGATACATTTTATAACATTGCTACTTCATCAAGAAAAAGGACTGGAGTTGTTTTTAGATCCACTCTAATATCAGGAACTTCTGCCTTAAAGCTCCTGTCTCAGTCCTGTAATAGTATGATGTCATTGTACCACTATGACATCATACTCAGTCGTTTTCTATGTATTGCCCATTGATTTGTTTTGATAATTTCCTCAGTGAAATCACATTCTTTACGATCACACGTCTGTGTTTGGTGCCTGAAATTTTTTTTGAATTTGGATAAAAACAAAACAAATTCAACTCCTCCCTCTGGTAGTAGCATAGGGAGTTACAGGTGGAAAGCCCAGTGCTCACTCTAACTTGGAAGGTCCCACTGTCACGCACTGTAATCTGTCATCGGGGACACACAGTTTGTTTTGCTGTCTTCCTGTCAGCCTGTCCGCGCCTCCTGATTCAGATTAGCAGCGTGCATCCTCACCTCTGCAGAACAAGGCCTTTAATCCAGCCATTTAGCTCCTGTCATCGCTCGGTTAATTGGTTCTTCCCTGACATTTCCTCTTGGCACTGGCAGCAGACGGTGACTAGTGGTTGTGGTGTACCTGGCCTGATGCTCTTGTTTGCCAAATGATGACAGAACTGCGGAAACAATTATCGTACAATTTTGTGTTTTCTTTGAAACACAATTTGTCTCTGCCTCGTTCATTTATACTCAGCCAGTAACTAGTCTGTTACTAGCCTGGACTTACAGCGGACACTGGATATTTCTGTACGGTAGTAAAGCTGTTACCTTGTGCTGCTAATCGTCGCAAAATGTTGACATTTTTTGCATGAAAAGGATTTTTTGTAAAAATTGTGTGGTTCTGACTGGTCAGTTCCTTAGAACATCATGAAGTAGGGATGCAAAAATCTTAATAATTTTACTTTAGTTATAGCTTCATTTCTTTTTGGAAAAACAATTATTCAAGTTTTTTTTTCTTCAACAGTTCAGTTCTGTAATAATTCAATCAATTGAAACAATTAATAGATTATTAAAACAATTGAAAATGTTTTTAAGAAATTGATTATTTTGATAATTGTCATTTGAACCATACAGACGTCACATGTTGTGAAGAGGTGTCAGTTCCATAATTACTCTAAATAGAAACAGAAATGTGTACAACAGTTTTTAATTAAACCAATTTTGAAAATAGCTTGACTTCAGCTTTATATTTGGTTACAGTAAATACAACACATATCCACGGACTACTCATGATAACTAACTAAAATTAATCAAAAGAATAAACACCAGAATTATCAAATCGTCGTGAATACACACGGGGCACTGTTTTAATTCATACACCGCTTACTCATCGACTAGTCCTACAATATTAAATCCATATTTCCCCCAAGTGAACACTTGGTGGCAGTAGAAATGCATCGTCTGCACCTGTGGATTGTGTGGTATTTACAGTTGTGTGCTCATCCGGACAATTACCACTGTACTTCTTCCTGACACAACAAGTACTTTGGTATGGAAAGCAGAATTATCCTCTTCATGAGAGCACTTGACTTCAGGAAGTCCTTTGAAGTTGAATCAGTCTCTTAAGTTTCCTCTGCCTGCGGCTGATGTTGTTGTCTGCTGTAGGTTTGCTCTCGCTGCAGCTCGCTTTGTAAAGAGTGTTCTGTTGAGGTGCAGGTGATGTCCATGGGTTGTATGACGGGACAGCTGAGTGACGGCGGCTAATGGAGCCTGGAGCGCGCACACAACAAAAGAATATTAATTCTGTGCACAACTATCTACAGTTGTGCTTGAAATTGTACAGTTTTAAAATGATTTCCTATTTCTTATTTTATTTTCTACATTGTTGTTGTGTCTAAGTAGCTATTGTATCTGCACAGGACCGATGTCAGGATGGACTTACATGAGCAAGTTGCTTCAACCCAATCCTTTGGGATTGGGTTGAAGCGGTTGGTTGCATGGACATTCGATGAATGTAATATCTGTTATTAATCAAACAATTGACCTGGGTAGATCCTAAATGTGCTTGCAAGGGGGCCCAGGAATTTACAGGAGCCAAGGAAAATGGGCAGCTTTTCCACCTAAGAGGATACAGAATTTCATCCACAGCTACCACAAAGGACCCCAAGCTTGAAATACACGCTAGATTTAGAACTGGGAGACAGAAACTTCTGATCAGGGTCTGAAGAGTTTCTTTTATCATTATAATATGAAAAAAAAAAAAAAAAAACACACACACACACTTCATAACAATACACACAACGGCTTCACACAACCACTAACAAAGAGTGGGAGTTTTAAAAATCTCCAAATTATGCGGGGCATAATTTTTTGCCCCCTCCAAAAATAATAAATTAAATTATAAATAAAATGTAATACTATTATTTTTTTAAAGCTGTTGTGCCTGAAGAAGTTTTGATGCCCACTGAAGAAATTGATTTAGAAATTTCCAGCTTCATTTTTTGGTAGCCTTTCTTCTTGCTGTTCACGCCACCCACGCTCGCAGAGACAGGTCCTGCGAGGAGCCGGCCAAGGTCAGCAGCAGCCACTGATACCGGATAGCAGCTTTTGTCCAGTACAGCATTGGCCAGACTGTTAAAGCACATACTACCACTGCCAGGGCAAACCTGGTGTGTTTCTCTTTTGTTTTGTTTATCCCTGGCATTTTTGCTTCTGAAATGTGTTATTGCAAGAAAGTTTTTGCTCCTCTGGTATTTCCCTTCATGTGAAATGACAGTCGGTCTACAGCATTCCAGTCAAACGCGAGGTCAGGGAATTGGTTTATGTTTCTGCATTTCATTTGAAGAGAGTCTAAACATACCAGAGAATTGGTTACATGGTCAGAATGGGTTTACAGTTGCTTCAGCCATATTCTTTTTTTTTTTTGGTTGTAATACAGTCAGTAAATGTCTGACTATCTGTTATTAACCAAACAATACATTCATATATAGTTTGTTAAAGATAGAATTTTGTGACTTTATTGAAAATGCATTCTAGATACAACATATGACTTTGGTTTCGGGGACCCTCTCTGAAACATTTAACACCAAGCAGCGACTCAAAGACGGACTGACTTAAAAAATTAATATGTTAAAATACAGTAGCCATACAGTAGCCTATTTTCTCAAAGTATTCTAAGCATTGCATTATATTATGAAGCCGAAATTAGTATAGTATAAATTCAACTCCTCCCTCTGATGGTAACATAGGGAGTTGCATGTGGATAGCATTTGTTATCCTAATATAGTAGTTTCACCATATATTTTTTAATTACGATATTTCACATGACACCGTCTCATAAAGCATTTGGAAATAAAATTAAGTAATATTCAGAATTTTTCCACTTGGGAAAGTAAATACATTTGATTTCATTTTCAGCGGATCTCAATGTTGTTTTTTTAGAAATAAAAACTTAACCAAAAACTAAAACGAATGTAGTTTTATTTTTTGCAATGTAGTAGACACATATTTGAACAAAGTCGATGTCAACACTATGCTCAGGGTCAGTGAAGGAGGCCGGTTGGTTGCATGGACAGTCACAGCAGCTCTTTGCCTAATCTCCTTTAAACCACTCTACAATACGTGCCGAGTGTCTGAGTGCCCTGCTGATGTGGGTGTAGGGGCTTTTAGTGCGACCTGTTTGGAGGATGTGCAGACAGTGGAGCATGGTGTTAAAACAAGGCCTCACCTGGGCATGGCAGGCCTCACTCAGCAGCCTCACGTGCGGACTTGAGCCTGACCGCAGCACGCCCCATCTGGAGGGATTATCTCAATGCTAGCAATTAGCTCCCTCAATCTATACTCTGCCAACGTAATTCACTCAGACCACACACGTATGGGTCCCTAAAATAACTTTTCTCCTGCTGTTTTGTGCCATGTTTTTTCTCAGCTTCATAATGTTGTCATCACTTGTAAATTATCACTACTTTAAGATCTGAAATGTTTGTACAGTGTATGACCGCTATTCAGAAATCGTCGTACACCATATTTGTATTTTGTCTGATTCATTTGTTTACTCTTTTCTTCCAGACTTGTGGTTGGAGCAAGTTGTATCCTTTTTGTTTGATTGTATCTCATCAGAACAGGGAGTTTAAATTTGTAATTCTACAATTTCCTCATAACATTTGTATTCATAATTTAATCAAATTGGATCACCATTTTTATCCTATTCATTTTGATCTACTTGAAAAACAAAAAACTTCTGATTATATTTGTTGTCAGTTATACAAATGTAATAAACATAGATGTATTGCTTTTATTTAAATTGCATCAACTTGGGATTTTTTTAATTCTATGGATTTTACACCGTCAATTACCAATTTATCAGCCGTTTTTCACCACTATATATCTACAGTATATACATCTATATTTGTCAAGTAATACATATTTTTTGGTGCAAGGTAGCCTCAAACACACACAAATTATATACTTCATAGAACAAACTTTTTTTTTTTTTTTTTTATTAAAGTAAGGCATTTTTTTCTAAATGTGATTTTCTGGAAATATGGATCCTACATTTTTAAATCAAATAGTCCTCCCCCTCCAGCCCTAGTTTCCAGTAAACACAGTCAAAGTCATTCTTAACGTTTGTCAGATGTGGGCCTGGAGTGTGCAGGGTTCCTCACTGGTATCGGCTTGGACGCCACCATCATGGTTCGCAGCATTGCTCTTCGGGGATTTGACCAGGTATTATAATATTGTCTATTACTGATACATATTTCCATCATGTCTTTTTGAACCGTCATTAACAGTGAGTCTTCTCTCCCGTAGCAAATGGCTGCTTTGGTGACTGACTACATGGAGGCCTATGGGACCAAGTTTGCGTGGAAGTGTCTCCCCAGAAGAATTGACAAACTTCCATCCGGAGTTTTACGAGTGACCTGGACCGACACGGAGACGGGCAGCGATCACCATGACGACTTCGACTCTGTACTATGGGCGGTTGGTAAGTTTGTCAGTAGTAAAGAAATGCTGGTACTCACATGGAATATTACAGATTTCAACTTCTTTAATGCCACATTTGATTTTTTTTTTATTCTGAAAGTTACTTAAAAGAAATGAAAAACTTTTTATGTCAGTAATCATAAATCGTTCTAACATAAGTCTCAAATCTATAACATGTTATAAAATCTGTCTAACTTGTTTTTGAGAGCTAGGAACAAGTTAGATGGATTTTAGAATTCAACAATTATTGCTTTGTCAAACTAACTCACTTTTTCTGTTTAATATATAATCAAACACAAAGTTAGGTAGGCTTTCTAAAGACCACACGATCTCGCATGAAATCATCGCAGCGACCCGCCTGCCTTCACTCAGCAGCCATTGTTATAATTTCCACTATTTCACTTCACTTGAATACTTTTATAATTGTTATAATAAATCTGTTATGACATTTCCGTCCTGGCCAGTATTCTGCTAGGCCCGGCCCTGGATACACTGCAGTGTCAGCTTAAACACAGATGAATCAAAACTAGAAACAAAGCGATACGGAGTGATGGGAATGGCCAGGGGAAAAGTTAATCACCTAAACGTTATTCTGCGAGTGGATCGGAGCAGAGAGCCAGGATGCACCCACACACAGGGTCACCACTTTTCTTTCTGTTCTTTCTCTTCTTTGGGGCCTTCCTGGTCATGCCGGCTGTCCAGGAAACCACCTCTGCATCTGTCACTGCCCCAGCCACACTTCCGTCAAAGTCCGCAGTGTGTGTTAGCGCTGCTTCACTCGTGTAGCGGGGGCCATTGTGTAGAGAGGCAGGTTTTTGTGGGGCCTTCGCGTGTGACAGAGACGAGGATGTGAGTGACCTGTTGCTCATGTGACGTGAAGCGATCCCGAGATGAGCGGTGGAAACTTATGGAAATGGGCATTATTCCAGCTTATTTAGTGATCAACATGTACAGGTGAAACTCGAAAAAAATCACAATATCCTTCAAAAGTCTATTTTTCTTCAACTTGCAATGGTAAACTAATACTGCATTATGACACACGTTACACACACAATGGGATATATCACAAGATCATGTCTTTATTTAATGTTTTAATGTTGCTCGCAGCTTGTAAAAACTCCAAATATTGAAAATTAACAGAGGCATATGTCACTTTGTAATGTTCTGACCCTTTGGAAAAAACAAAAAACACATAAGACTCATTACTTGCAAAGATGTATCGGCGTCATTTCTTTTGTTGTCCTTCTCACTTTTTGGTAATCATAATGTAAATATTATGAATGCACAAAAACAAATATATAATGAAGTCTATACCATATATTGTTTTCACATTTTACAGAAATTTACAAGATTCTAATTTTCCGAGTTTCACCTGTAATGCCAAGATAAAGAGGCTTAGTCAAAGGCTGTATTCAGAGGATTTTGGGCTGTAACACGTTAATCAATTATTCAAATAGTAATTTTGTAATCTATTCATTAATTTTTGAGACCTTTCAAAGGTCTTTGATGTTCTTCAGGAGCATCACTTGAGCTTAGTTTTAGTGGAATGTTCACGATCACTTATTCACTGAACTTTTGCGATCTATATAACTGACAATGAATAATCAGAGAACTCATCGATTTATTAAAATATACATTTGATTACAGCCCTAATGAGATTGGCGACAGATGAGAGGCTGCTTTGTCTTTATTATTGAAGATTGATACTAATATTGTACCAAAGAAATCACATTATAATCACACAAAAATGAAATATCTCACTTTATAGCATACTAAAATGGATGTTGTTTTTACATCTGTTACTGCATCGGCAACAAGGATATTTCCCCGAGGAATAGCACAGCTGTTCTGTAGTGCAAGGTGTAAAACTGCATCTGTGATTGAATCAACAGATGTTTCAGCAAAGCCCTGAGACTACAAGTTGGTTACAGAAGATTTATTTATTTGCTGGATATAAAGAACATGTTTCTACATGCAGAACGGTGGCTAGCACTCTCAACTCTCAGCAAGAAGGTCCTGGGTTAGAATCCCGGTCGGAACAGGGCCTTTCTGATTGGAGTTTGCATGTTCTCCCCGTGTCTGCGTAGGTTTCATCCAGGTGCTCCGGTTTCCCCTACCACTAAAAACATGCACAATAGGTATGAATGTAAATGAGAGAGTGAATGGATGGTGTTGGTTGGAGCTGATGGTCCAGTGTGTTCGGCGACTCGCTTCTGTCATTACCGTGTGTGGAATGATTGGAACAATATCTGAACTCTGAACATTGTAAAGCGCTTTGGGTGACCTTGGTCTGTAAAATGCACTATATAAATAAACATTACTTACTTACTTACTATATTTCCGATAAAGAAAAGGTGTGATCACTAATAATATATTGTGATCATACAGTATAGGGTAAATACAGTTCATATATGTGTGTAAAGTGCTATTTAAACACTTGTATTATGGAGAAACCACAGACAACAATACTGTGAACTGGTGTGCGTGTGTCGCCCAGTTCAGAATACTGGTCCTGCTCTTTGATGTCTGCTGCAAAAGTTATGAGCACAAGGCCACTTCCCACAAACAGGACCTTACACTGGAGGTCAGAGCTTTCCAAACCTCAGTGGAGTTATTAAAGCACTCGGGCTCTGGGACTGTATCAGTCTGTCGGACACATCCTTTGCCCTGCCTTCCTGCGCTCAGGGCCGCTCCTGGAGCAGGTGTGGCAGAAACGCTCCAGGAAGAACAACACACACGTTTCCTGTCTGAATCAAGACATCCATGCATCTGTCAGTTTCCTCCTGAACATTGAATTTATAGGATCTTTTATTGTTCTTTGACTAAAAATGTTTTGTTCCACGATACTGCATTTCATTGCAACCAGACCAGACAATATATGGATACACACTATTAGTCTATTGGGTTGTTTTAACTTTTTTATCTGAGAGCACTTTTCTAAAGTGTCCACTGTAGTGACAACAAAAACACAAGAATGAGTACATACAGAGATCCAAATGTTATAATGCAAGGGAAACGTGGGAAGTCAAGTGGTCTTTGAGGATCTGTGGGGAAATTAGCGTAGAATGCAAAGAGGAAAGGTCCGAGGCACTCCCGACTTATCTCCAAAATCCTTTATTGTAGAAGGGACATAGCAACGCATTTCGACCACTCTCTGGTCACTTGCCTTGAAGAAGACCAGAGAGTGGTCAAACTGCATCATGTCGTCTAGTCAGAGTGCCTCACACTTTCCTCTCTATTCTACTTTTGTGTAGTGACTTTTTTTTTTTTTATTCATGAACATGCACAGAACAAGTGAAAGGAAATGTACAATGCGGACATATATGATTACCAACTTGGGAGTCCTTGTCTGCTGTGTGTTCCTTCCTATAACTCTTTCAAGTTTCTCTTTTGTATTTGCTCATTTGATTGATCAGATATGCGTCCGGCTTCATTTCAAGTTGCAAAGAATTGTTTTGACTAGTTGGCCCGACACTTCCTACTAATGTCACTAGCGATAGTGTTCAACTGTTTCTCTTATCAGGCCGAGTCCTCCGCTAACAATGGAGCTGAGGCTGCCACTACGAGCGGCTCTGCACACAGAAACACACTAAAGCGGGAGATCCCTCTGATACGCTTTTATATAGGCCAAAGCTAATTTTACTATGAAAATAAATAACCCTTTCTTGTTGAATTAAGCTCAAAGTCCAGGCTGACTTCACTTCATCAGCATTTCCATCTGTGGTGGTTCCTGTAAAAAAAAGTAATGAATAGTGAATAAAAGGACTGTATTCATAACCAAATATTCTCATTTTGAATGGGACCTCAAAATGGCAAGATAAAAACAGTACGATTTATTTCTACAGTTGCTTAAAAGTATTGCCTGGTCACCCACGATCCACTTTCATTGCCAGTAAAATAAACATATTTGTCCCATTGGCTTTCTGTACACGACAGAAGAGGATGTTTTGACTAGTTGAGTCGCAGACGGGGAGGCAAGGCAAGCTCTTTTGTATACCACAGTGTGTACACAGTAATTCAAAGTGCAAAACAAAATAAAGAAAAATCCCATACATTTATATACATGAAAAACATTAATAACCACAATGCCACTTTTTTTACAGAGACAAAAGGCTGACGTTGTTTCACAGCTACAGAACTATGTACAGAATTGGAACTCCTTGAACATTTGACCACAGAATACTGATCCATTTGTCACCCTGGCTGATATGGCATTAATTACAGATTATTTTAATTATTGTGTAGTTGGTCGATTGTTATTCAGATTAATTGATTTGGTGTTGGATCTCTGAGGGTCAGTGATTATGGGATTTGTAATTTTTTTCCCAAAGCATTACATTTCAAATGTCCCCCTGGAGAACATCTTCATAGAGGTGAGTTGTTTGATAAACATTTTAATTTGATTCTGGAGTCAGTGTAGACTGATTTGAGTCATAAAACCTCTTCTCAGCGTGTTTATGTAAAGCTCAAGAAGTTATTCATTGTTACTAAAAATGTCATATACATTAATATAGGTTCTAAGCCTTATAACTGAATGTAAATGTCAGTGGCTTTTTCTGTACACTGCAAAATGTTTGTTTTGTCCTGCTGCCATTGAACCAATTTGAAAAAGAGATGGTTCATGTCAAGGGGCTAATTTTATCTTAAAGAATAAATGATGCTACATTAGTTGGCAAATATTTCAATAATCGGTTCATCGATGAACTTGTTTCAGCCCTAGTACCTGATCACAAGTACCAAAACCAGAAGGCCAAAATGGATAGACCACTGCATCTCTATAATATACTGCATTATTACTCAATAAAAACAACTTGAGAATGAAAAACATATTCTAGAGTCTGGTTACTAATGCAAATGCACAGTGCACATTAACTGACTTGTTCCACGTATGGTAGACTGTTCTGATGTTACAGAAGATAATATTTACAAGCCATACTTCGGGGAATGGGACGTCTCCAGTGAGCTCTCCATATCCTTCAGCCACCCATGCAGCCGAGCTCCAGGCCAGTCCCTGCAGCCCCCCGGCCCGAGTCACGGAAGGGGGCACGCTCCAGCCAGTATAGAGTCGGCTTGTTATTTTTGCTGTCCAATATGGTCTACACGGCTACCTCGGGGCCCGCTGTTTATTATGCTACCGTGGCTGGTTGTGCGCGGTCCTTGCGTCGTCGAAAAGCATCCGTCAGCTGCCCCCCGTGAAGTGTTACAAATGGCACCTCTGTCTGTCCCCCGGGAGTGATGGGAAGTCTTGTTCAGCTGGCCAGTTTTAAGGCTGACCTGTCCTCCTGCCAGATGTGCTCTCATTTAAAATCTCTTTCACATTTTAGGTAACATTTTGAGACGTTTTGGATGGTAATGGCTGTATAATCTTTTATCCATTTTATTTTACTATGAAGCAAATGATGAAGGAAAGCTAAATGTTTGTGTTAGTGCGACATTGTTTTTTGTTCTATCCACACAAATATCAGGAGCTTCTGGCCCATATGTTTAACTCCACCCCTTCTAAGCTCCGGTCTCAGTCCTGTAAAAGTATCTTGTCATTTTTACCTTTTGACTTCATGCTCAGAGAAGTTGTATGTCTTTTAAAACGCATAACAAGTATTTCCCCTAAATTAGTATTATTAATCTATAGTTCACACTAGCATGGCTGTGTTTTCATCCTGTATCTTTTTATTTGACAAAAAAATTAATTAAATAAGTACAGGCGGAACCATTTTTTTTTTCCTTGACATAATATATTTTCTAAGATACTCATTCTAAAACATGAAATGACAAAAGTTTCATAATAGTTTTTAAAGACCAAAAGTAATGCATCAATGTAGCTTGGTATTATTTTGATAGGGACAGTGTACAATAAACATGAGCTAAAGGGATTGTTGTACCAGTATATGGAGAAAAACATGACTTTTACTTATTTCATTATTTAAAAATGTGCCTATTTTTGTATTGTATACTGTATGTTGTTGCTGCATTGAGATATTTGTTCTGAGTGCACTTTAATTTCTACAAAGCTGACTCGTACTTGTCTGGGATAAGGGCTGCTTCCTGGCTGTTTCCGTGGAAATGTTATAACAACAATTATATATGTTTTGTTAATATTCATACGATGGCCAAAGCTTCAATATGTGTGGTAACAAAGTAAGAACTATTTACTAATTAGACTCTCATATAAAGTGATCTTTGTCTTTGATCTTTGCTCTTCAGGTAGAGCCCCAGAGACTAAAGCACTCGGTCTTGACAAGCTTGGCGTGCATCTCAACAAGGACACCGGGAAAATAATTGTGGGAGCTGACGAATCCACATCGGTGCCAAACATTTATGCTTTTGGGGATATTGGTGAGGTAAGATGAATTACTGTGTAGTCATTAAAGTCGGTGAAGAAGCCACTTTAGTTTTTAAGGGGAGTCAAAGTTTTGTGTGTGCATTCCGTTTCACTTTTGTAACATTGTACTGGCATTTTTAAAGGACCAAGAAAAGCACCCGTAGAGCACATATCTCCAGCAAGATCCATTTCTTAAAACATAAATCCTGCATACACACAGATTTGGATCACCTCAAAATTTGAATCCGTTCTCAGCCCAAAAGATTAGTGACAGTTCCAGGAATTTGAATGTTTTTTTGTATATAATGAAGACATGCTTCATAAAATGTCTTATTTTTCTCAAAGTTGTGTTTTCATGATACCTGCCGGAGAGGAAAACAGATAATATTAAGGTCATATATTATGTTTTTGTTTTATGTTGGCCTAGAAAAGAGAGAGAAGCACTTGAAATACAGAAACTATTTTATTAAAGACAATATTTGTTATCACTTTTGTGTGTGTTTTTGTTCACAAAAGTGGATCCTTGGCCTCGAAAAAAAGAGTGAGTCACTTGTAAGAAATGCAGAAACTTAACCAAAAAACAGAATGCAAAATACAAAAGAGAAAAGAAAAAATACACCCAAAATTATTACTTTAAAGAGTCCACACTTCTAATTCTGGTGTCTAAGGTGTCTATGGTTGCAAACTGAGCAGAACAGGATTAGAAAGGCAATTTGATCTATGCATTCCCTTTTCAACCAGCCTTGTTAATAGTTAGTCCTGCTGTGTGTTATGCCGCTGTTGTTTTTCAGCACAACCAGCTGTGTGCTTGCTTCCTGCCTACCAGGCCTCTCACACATACACACACATGCATACATACACACACATGCATACATACACACAAACATGCATACATTCCCACGTACACACATGCACGTGCACACTCTGTGACTTAAAGGCTCTTTGATGAGTCCTACTTCACCCCAATCTGTCTGTCAGCCTTCCACAGCAGCGGGAAGTTTCTTTCCTGGGGCGGAGGATGATATCTCTATCAATTTGTCCAAAGCATTGTTGCCATTCTTATGTTTGTTGTATTTAAACAAGTGCAATCCGCCAAGAAATGCATTATAGTGACTCACGCTGTCTGCAGTGTAAACACTTACGTTGGATATGGACACACGTGTGCAGGTATGTTCGAACAACAGGATGTGAGCTGGTGATTTCAACAGGTTCATGTCATACCTTTAGTATTGCCCTGCAGCGGTACAGTTTCCAGAAATGTACTGTTGTGTATGTGTGCCGCGAGCAGCAAGCCCCACCACTTTTGGAAGATGAAAGATATTTTAACTGTTTTACTGTATTGTTTTTTGTTTTAGCTTTTTGTTAGATCTGGCAAGTGCTTGAAAAGTGTGTATGTATATATATATATATATATATATATATGTACTGTATACAACCGTTAACCGTTCAAAAGTTTGGGGTCACCAAAGTGTTTTCCATGAAAAATCACACTTATTCACCACCATACGTTGTGAAATGAATAGAAAATAGAGTCAAGACATTGACAATGTTAGAAATAATGATTTATATTTGAAATAAGATTTGTTTTACATCCAACTTTGCTTTCGTCAAAGAATCCTCCATTTGCAGCAATTACAACATTGCACCAAAAAACAGACATTTGCAGCTAGAATAGTCATTTACCACATAAGCAATAGAGTGTATTTCTTTACAGTTTAGACTAGTTTAAAGTTATCTACAGTGCTTTTCCTTCAAAAATAAGGACATTTCAATGTGACCCCAAACCTTTGAACGGTAGTGTATTTGAAAAGTTATTTTTTTCTACAACCCTTTGTGGTCATTATGCAAAAATCCCATTTTACTCACACGTTTCACTGGTATATTTGTTTTTCTTTAGGGTCGTCCAGAGTTGACCCCCACTGCCATTAAAGCAGGACGGCTTCTCGCACGCAGACTGGTTGGTCAGAGTTCTCAGCTCATGGATTATGACAATGTAAGACTCAGAAAAAAATTGAAATTATCTATTATTTAATTATCATTTTTCACTGATCCAATGCTGCTAGTACTTATATTTGGTTAACATGCTTCATTTGAAATATTATTATAGGATTTATCTTCTCATATAAAATAACATAAACATAAATATTGCCAACATTTTCTCAAAAAAAAAAAAAAAACATCTGAAAAACATAATAAAAACAAAAACATGTTCACCGTCTTCCAGGTTCCAACGACAGTCTTCACTCCGCTTGAGTACGGCTGTGTGGGATTGTCCGAAGAGGAGGCTGACAAAAGATATGGAAAAGAGGGTATAGAGGTAACTCATTATTGATTCTGCTTAAAGAGACGCTCTCTGCCATTTTTGCACAGAAAAACGAAGCTCTATAACAAGTTTGACCAATAATAAACCAATATTTCATGTGCACGTTCCCGACTTGTGCACATGTTTAGTGTCCGTGTTCCTACATTAAACCACACACACTGCAAAAAACAATATAATATGAAGTAATAATTGCTTGAATCGAAAGGTTTCTGTCTTAATTTGAGAACATTCTGAGCCAATCGGACGAGACATTTAAGTTCAATTTCTTTCTTTTTAAAACAAGATAATTTTTTCTTGTCCCATTGGCAAATCTTGTTTTAAGGCAGTCCAAAAGTTTTTCCAAATTTGAGCAATTTTTTGACTTTTTTGGCAGTGTATTTCCAGCATAAACTGTGAGACTTTCTGTGACTCGGCTTATACTTAGTTGTTATTACCTCCACAAAAAAACACATTGTTCCTTAAATCTTCCAAACGTATTCTGCTCACACAAGCATGTGGCCTGTGCACACCAGCGGCCTGACAAACAGCTGCGCGCGCCGGTGGATAATGGGTGTTGCAGGTGAGGTGCGGCCTTGAGTGGCAGGCGAGCAGGAGGCCTGATGGAGGTGTGCAAGGGGCGATGACAGCTGCGCTTAGATCAGAGAGGTCGCAGCAAAACGCGGCCTCTAACAGCTGCACGGCCCGCCAACTTGTGTCGGCACGCTGGCTGTCGGTCTTACAATGCAAACGCACTCGCATCTCCGGTAAAACGTTCTAAACCTATCAGTACCAGGAGCCAAAAAGACGTTGTACCCATCACGGTTCAGCCAAGACTTCATGTTATGTGTTTGTTGCCAGTGGATATTTAACTTTTACACTCCCAGATATTAATTTCATTTTATTGGCATTCGTTTATGACGTTTTTTCACTCTTTGATAGTAGTAGATAGTAGTAGTAGTTGTGTAAAGCCGTATTTTGTCAATTGAACACAAACCTGTTTTCTATTTTCAACTTATAACATAATTGAACCGCTCTGGAGAGATCTCAAATGTGCAGTTCATGCAAGGCGGCCCCGGAAATTACAGTAACTGGAGGCTTTTTGCAAAGAAGAATGGAAAGCCCTAGCATCATAACATAAAGAGCCTCATCCACAATTATCACAAAAGACTTCAAACTGTCATAGATGTTAAAGGCAAAATAAAGTCTTATTTTGAAATAATAGTAAAACAAAAAAAAACAAAAAAAAAAACTTGAATAAGAGTGGGGAAAGTGGCGATACGGCGCACCTGGTCCGAACACAAAAGTTTGATGAACTGGGCCCTGGTAGTTATTCTTTCATAAATAGTCTTTAAAAGGTTTGAAAAATACTTTGATTTGACGTGAAGTAAACGATATGCAATTGTTTTTTTCTCCTTAAATCTATTTTTCCAGTTAAAAGTTGTTTTATTTTTAGAGGTTATACCTAAAAGTGCTACAAGTAATTTGATTTTCCGTATCCAGGTCTATCATGCATTCTACAAACCCCTGGAATTCACTATTGCAGAGCGGGATGCTAGCCAGTGTTATCTAAAGGTATGTAATAACTTTATCGTTCTCTGTTTGTGTATTGTGAGGGATGTATGAAGCAGCTGAACATGTATCATTGTACATTTCCAGGTTGTATGTGAGCGTAGGGAGAAGCAGAAGATTTTGGGTTTGCATTTCACCGGCCCAAATGCAGGAGAAGTCACACAAGGCTTCGCTCTGGGCGTCCAGTAAGTTGTATAGTGAGTGTGTTTACAAACCACGGAGTTTGTCCAAAATCGGCAAATAATCACACAACGTTTGGTATTTTGGCTTTTGATTTTCCCACCTGCTCATCATTTCTGCAGTGTTCTTAAAACCACTATTATCCTTAGACCTTCAGGCTCTAAGGCAATGCTCTTCCAACTGAACCACTGTCGCCCCCTGATTGAGTAACCTGTATCTGTCCAAATATATTTCTAATACATGTTTGGCTTTTCCCTCTGCGCTCAAATGCATCACTGCCAGCTCAACTGCAGTAGAACCAGCACTAGCACCTCATTATGAACTGGTTTTCACACCTGAATTCCCGGGCACGGGTTTACACACATTTTTATCAAATGTAATTGGGAATAGGTGGAGAATTCTGTTTTCACTGGTGCTTTGTAAACTCTATCTTACATTTGATTGAAATCCTTCATAAATCTGGCTTTTCTATTTTCTTTTCTTTTTTACCAGATGTGGTGCTACATACGCTGACCTTCTGAACACTGTTGGCATTCACCCGACTTGTGCTGAAGAAGTGACAAAGGTCCATATCACGAAGCGCTCTGGACTGGACGCCACGGTCACAGGTTGCTGAGGTTAAGTCCCCTCGGCCCATAAGCACACAGGCATCCTCTCTCTCCCTTTCCTCTGCAATAACTAAATGACCATCAGACAATTGTCAATGGCACGTTGTGGGAAGATTAATGCGTATTCCTCTTTCATGCATATACATTTTTGGCCCTGAAGTGAGCGTCTATAAATAAGCAGCATCATCGATCAGGATGGAGGCCATGTTTAAGTGTTTGTTGAAACCATAGAACTAACACAGTCCGAACCTAAACGTTTCTCTGAATATTCTGCAAATATTGTTGTTTCTCTGGCTGTACTTCCTGTCCATTAGTCTTGGAGGTGACACATACCATACACCCCCTCGCCTCCACACCCCCATGACACTGATGGATGGCCCCAGGGCCTTCGGCACAGCGACACCGCCCCATTTCCCATGGACACACACAAACAGTCAGCGGGCTGCTGTCAGTCAGCCAGACCAGTCAACTTGGGGAACCCCGTTCTGTTTAGGTCCACTACAAGTCCAGAAAACCACAGGACCCTTTTCCCCAACATGCACTGCTCCTAACCAGGCAGCACATAAAGCAGCTGAGGGCAAGAGGAGCCAGCAATCCTAAACCACAGACAACTGGGCTCAACTTTAACTACACTACTTCTTTCTACCTAAAGATGGCACTGTTGCCCTCCAAGTCTTACTGCAGTGATCCCTGTCCAGGCATTTTTTAATTCAACATTCATCTGATGCATTTAATCCTCTTAATCCCTTTAAGGTTATTAACTTCTTGCTTGACAGTCAGAGGCTTTTATGGAGCCAAGCTGATAAGGGCTATCTGCAGTGTGTTTGTATGGATGAAGGACTGGCCATAGAGAGTTAGCACTCCAAGATCAGATGGTTTCTTTACATAAATGAAAAGGGAACAGTGGCAGTTCGTTTGGCCAATTTTGAACATCTTCAACCAATTGTCGGTTTCCTTGGTAGAGAGGCATTAGAGCTGTCAATATGTGGCTTTCCACAAAAATTGGTGGACCAGAGTGGCTTGTGGGAGTCGTTTATTTGTATTTGAAGTCTAATCTGTCCAGTCTGATTAATGGCTTTGATGAGGGGAGTGACAGAGTGCCAGAGACGGAGAGAGAGAATGAACAAACTTGCAGCTTTATTTGGACCGTTTCAGAAAGAGCGCTGAGTTTGAGTTTTGGGGCTGGGGAGGGACAGAGGGAGATTCTTGTGTGCTGTGTATAGGCCGAGGTGCTGACTGAAGGACCCTGACCTCCTCTCAGCGGGAACAGCTTGACTCTATCACTCTGAGCACGGAGGGCTCACATGAGGCTGCATGGCAGGGGCAGGGGCAGAGGGAGGGTGGGATGGACAGAGCCAAGCGGTGCAGCCACACAGCTCCATGTTTGCCTGCGGTAATTGAGTCCGTGTTCCTGTGCTTAACGAGGCACTTCAGAGACCCCAGAGTGGCCCACAGCAACATGAGGGAAGTCATTGGTGTAACTGTAATGTCTGTTTGCTTTAAACCCTCCATTTCCTTTCAGCTTTTTGCTCAGCTACTCTGTTACTTTGTGTACATTTGCATGGAGTAATATTCTTTTTTTACCTTTACAACTTGTGCATCTGAAATGTTTTTTCCCCTGTTGTTTCCATTCCGGTCTCTGGAGCTGTTTTCTCGTATGTCTGAGCTGATTCCTCACCCTGGAGGTCAGGGTTCACCTATCCTTTAGTCCAGTTAATGATGACTTGCACTTAAGCCCAAACCTGGGGAGTGCAGGTCTGATGTCCACTGGCTAAGAACTTCACAGTTGTAAATAGAGAATACTTTGATGATTTACATAATTTATGTAACAATGAAGCTTTACTATTAAAATATTTATGAACTTTTGATCTGTGTGTTTTGTTACATGTTTGTATAATTTCTGTAATCTGTTCTTACTTTTGTCTGTATGATTGAACAGGCTCATCTTTGGTGCTGGTGTCATAGGGTGATCATGCTTTGACCCTGTCCGTCTCTGCTGACAGGCAGCCCTGCTCTGCAGCCCTGTCACTCAGCCTTGTGCACCAACAATGGCACAAATTCCAGTGTGTTTGTTTGGTTAAGGACAGGGCTCTCCGAAACCCCTGAACCTCCTCAGGATCCATAGCAGCCACACTCACCCTCAGAGAGAGGACTGTGTCAGGCCTAACCCAGACACGGCCCTCCCGACACAGGAATATCCATCCCTATTTAGCAATTGTGTCTCCTGTGTCCCTCACAATTGAGCAAACGGGCTAAATCCACCTTGAAATGCACTTAGTGGAACATGTCAACATGTCAGGGTGCGCTCGAATCGACGCTCCAGCTTAATCCAGTCCATTGAATGCTGACAGTTGTCTGTGAGTCAGACATTCATGGGCCTTTGTCACTTGAGGTCTTGAGCCATGCTGAGGGAGCACAACCTAAAACATACATCTGGGGTGAAAGCTTCAGGAGGAGGAGAAACCGATACAAGTCTTGTGTAAACATTCAAAAAACTGACGCTACCAACAAAAAGACTAAACCTGGGTGAGGATTATGCCTAAGAAATGAATAGGGGCCAATTATGACTGCTCTGTTGTTCTGCCAGTTTCAGGCTCAGGAGCTGTCATCCAGAGATGCCTTCAGGGCCCTGATGAGATGCACAGGCTCGGGACGGCTCATGTAGGAAAAGACCACTCAAAACTTATAAGCCCAGGTGGGTCTAAAAGCTGCTCTGCTGGATTTTGCCACTCTCAGCTTTGTCTGGTCTGGCGACTTCAGATACAACATAGCCATATATAGCAATGTCAAATCAATCAAGCTGTTTATTTCAAAACCTGTTCCATACAATTCCACAGAACAAAATGGCAGACACAGATACACGCACATGTTATGAAAAGTGGTTGGATGAAGCTTCACTCATACACTTCCAAACCCTCCTCACCCATTTAACAGAGATGCAGAGATTTGGAACCAAATTGTCCAAAGATTATAAAAAAAATTAAAAAAACGTTCGAACATGAACACAATTCAATACAATATCATGGTAAAAGACAAAACACTCTCCGACCCTACACCTCTCTCACACTTCCTGCTCTGTGCTGAAGGCATGCACTACTTTAATAAAAACAAAAATCCAACATGTTTGTTTTTAAATCCTCTGTTAATCCGCTCCAAACACGCACATTGACTTTAAAGTAGCTCTAAATATTCACTGTAATTATGGTCGGCATCGCTATTACGGAATAACTTTTGTTCACAGTGATGCATTGATCTTGAAAAATATGTACCATTTTGCAATCGTTTCTCAAAGCTACTTCCCTTTTCAGCTTGTTTTAGCAGCCTGTTGGAACAGCGAGTGGTCAACTCTTTTTAGGAAGACGAGCTCTCTTTGTTGCTGCGCAGAGGTGAGGGTCTGTGAAATGTTCTTATCTAACCCATGATAAGAACAGGATACCCCAGGAAAAGCCCAAACTCAATACACATGGCTGCTGCTGACCTTATCTCCAGGCTGTGATGGAGCTATGGTAGCTTTCGGCTTATCTAGAATACCCGTGGATCTATGTCGCACACGCCTTTGCTTGAAGTTTAATGCTGTTATTTATTTGTGGTTGGACTCCCCAGTTCTAGCTAAACGGGTTTTTACAACTGGTAACCTCAAGTCTTAAATCATTTGGGCAGGTTTTTTTGCCACACAGGAAGCCTTCTGATTAGTCCTGGTAGCTTCAAGATTTACAACCTCACATATTTCAAAATAGTGTGCAGCTAAGATATATTGTTATAATTGCATACACCACAAAATAGCATGAAAAAAAGTGTATGGTGTAGATTTAATGTGAAGAAGACTAATAACACCATGAAAACGGCTGATAATTGTTCAGTCTGATGACCTCATTTGTATGTCATCGCCGCACCTTTATTATCGGCACAATTGCAGCCTGATGTCATATCTGCGTTTGATCAGTGTTGGGTTTCGGAAGTGTTTGTTAAATTGGTTTTCTAATAGCCTAAAGGAAGTGCAGTGTTGATGTAAAGATTTAATGCGTTGCCCTCAATCGCCTCAGTTTTGTCATAAACTCTGTCAAAACCTGTTTGTAGAAGATTTTTAGGACAGTATATGTATGTTTTTGGGAATAATAGATGCTTGGTTTGATAAGTTTCAAATGAGAATTACAAGAAAGCATTCAAATATGAATATGAATTAAATCAGGTCACCCTAAAGCTGGGGTGTCTAACTTTCAAGCCAAACAGTTTTAAACTATGACTTTAAATTCATCAATTAGAACCAATTGAAAGAACTACCTCGAGTTTTCACATGCGAGAAACACCCTCCCTTTGCCAATCAGCTCTCAGCTCAAAGAGTCAAAATGTGACTCATTCAAACCCATGATTTTATATTTCCAATGTTCAAAAGATAACATGTTTTCTAATGAAGACGTTATGTTGTGTTCAGATTTGCTTTCACTATTTTACTTTTACAAGACTCATTCTAATAAAACATTATTTATTTACAAAAGTGTCTGTTTATGGACTTCAGAGTGAACTCTCTTCCAGAGCAAGAAAGAGGAGTGGACATGGCACGTGTCAATTTATTTTTTGCATGAAAAGGTAAAACAAACTCTGTATGTATTGTTATGATTAATTTTTTTGTATTACATTTAAAAATATAGATCAGTCTGGTTTGTCATAGGCCGAGAGTCCAGCTGATGTCCCTGTGAATACATCTCCATAAAACCCAGTGGAAGTGCTGACACAGAGATGGACAGGTTATGTGGAGCACATGGCTCACCCAGTGGGTGCTGTCGGTACCTCTCTGATTGAGTATTTCCTGTTTGGCATAAAACCTCAGTGTGTTCGTCCAAACTTGAGCCCCTTTTGCTGAGTGTATTGTAAGCTCAGCCCATGGAGCGCAGTTATGTCGCTGTGTGTTTATTTGCTGGTCAGTGATAAGATGAAAGATGGCTTGTGTGGCATGTTCTGCATGTGAGTGGGGGCAGGTGGGAATGTGCATGTGGGTGTGTCTGCAACTTTAGCCACATGTCTGAACGATGCATGTATGAACAGCCATGCATTCAGTGCTAAAGAGTTCCCCCAAAGTTTCAACCTTCGTTTTTAGCTCAGCCTTGTATTTCCTAAACAATTGTTATCAGACTTTCCCCAAGAGTGAGTCGGTGTCACAGACAAACCTACAGCCTGTATGTACATAACCAGCTCAGTAGTCTTCGCCCTTTGGCCTCATTGTCCCAGATGACGAATGGGCCCATACAGCAGCAGAATGAAGACTATCATTACTGTACATAAGGAGTCTGCTCAAAGAGGAGGCTGTGTCTCAAATAACTCGCCTCCAGTTTGTGTACGCAGACCTATGACATCTTAGCCTGTCTTTATCCATTATATATATCATCCATTATAATATATGTCTGGATCAATTTTTTACATGGGACATGGTGTACAATTGGCCTAATAGTTGAATATATCCTTACAACAAAAACCTCTACAGGCACTATACTGTAAATGGTTTCTTTAAGACTGATTGTGAAGGGCGACAGTAGCTCAGTTGGTAGAGCATTGGCCTTCAGGCCTGAAGGTCGTGGGTTCAATTCCCACCTCTACACCTTCTCCACCGACTCCCACTGATGACTGCTGTCGTTGTGTCTTTGGGCAAAACACTTAACCCCACTTTGCCCAAAGCCCCCACTGAAAGATCAAGGCTATGCTCACAGAGCAGCCGTTCTCCTGTGGACTCACCACCTGCAGAGGGTCAGTGAGGGGCTGGTGCTATGAGACTTGGGTGGCATCTCTGACTGCCACCCCCCTGACCCAGAAATGGATTAAAGGGTAGAAGATGGATGGATAATTGTGAATTTGTGACTTCTTTTTGAGTAATCCAATTATGTAAGTTTTAATAAAATGCTGGGTTACCTTTTCGTTACATGATTAATGCCTGGGGTGTATCCAAACAGAAAGAGTGTGGTATAGGTGAAATATTATGAACAAATAAGACCACCACATTATCATATTTTTTGCCGCTTAGGCTGAGAGCTGATTTTTCCTCTATTCCGTCTGAAAAATCTAAACACGAGACAAAAATACGAAATGTGACAACGAATGATAAAGCAGTTTTGAGAGCCAGGAACTAAAAGATGTGCAGTATTTCTTTAAAAAAAATTGTAGATTAAAAGTTAGACATCGATTTAAACAAATTCCTATAACCTAGAAATGTTGTGGACTATTTTACGGAAAGTGAAGTGTTACTTTTGGACGAATATGTCTAAAACAATCGCTGGTTTGAGTGACATTTATTTGCTTTTGGGAGGAATTGGGGGTCAGATAACACCGTGCTGTGCGTTGACCTTACTATGAGAAACGGCGTCATATTCAGAGGAGTTTGAAGAAGAGCTGATAACATTATTAACTTTACACTTGGATGGGCCTCCCTCCTCCGTTCACTCAGGGAGGATGTCTTTATAGCAGATAGGGATTGTGCATCTGCTTTCTTGCTTTCCGCTCTGCACTGAATCATTGTTTTGTTCTCCTCCTAAAATGTAACCAGCGAACCGGTCACTCCTCACCCTCTCTGAGATCTCTTCATTACCACCTGCAAAACAGCCTTAGAAAAACACACATCCCTTGGTGACTTATGCTTCAAAACTTTCACACAAACTTGACCCGCAGAAATAGAGGAACATATGAAGTAATGATACGATAATAATAATAAACTTTATTTATATAGTACCTTATTTATAACGAATTTGCAAAGTGCTTCATGACAATAGAAGGCAGTACAGATTATTAATAAAACACAGTAAGAAGAAATAATGTGGAGAAAAATGATACACAAATCATTTACAAATAAGTATTACAAAAAGGTAAATTGATCAGAGTGGGGTTTAGATAGTGGTTTAGATAGTGGTTTAGATAGTGGTTTAGATAGTGGTTTAGATAGTGGTTTAGATAGTGGTTTAGATAGTGGTACTGATGCACGCCGCAGGTTGCTCCAGAGTCGATTGGCCCGGACTGAGAATGCTCAATCACCTTTCTTCCAGAGCCTCAACCTTGGATTCAAGATTCAAGATTCGATAATTGATTTGCCATTTGCAGTAAAACCACATTGGAAAAACTGTGCAAGACTACATCAGTGTGCACCAGACCTTGGGACTACCAACAGGAGCCTACAACCTGCTTGTAGGGGGTCAAAAGATCAGAAATGCAACTTGGTGCTAGACCTAAAATCATAAATTCAATTCTAAAACGCACAGGGAGTCATGTGAGGGATGCCAAACCGGGGTGATGTGCTCCTGTCTTTTAAAACCAGTGAGAAGTCAGGCTGCTGTGTTCTAAGTTCTGTAATAGTTTGTCATAGTACCTATGACGACATGCTCAGAGCAGTTTTCGGCAAAAAAACAAAGATATTGACCCTACATTTGTTTTGGAAATGTCTCATGTAAAATTACATTCTTTACAATCACATGGGTTTGTTGATAATTTTAAAATTTGGGTAAAAAACAAATTCAACACCTCCATCCATTTTCTTCCCCTTAATCCATTTGTGGGTCGGGTGGGGGGTGGCAGTCAGAGCTGCACCCAGTACACAGAGCACCAGCCCCTCACTGATCCTCCTGCAGGTGCTGAGTCCACAGGAGCCTTGATTATTCAGCGGGGGCTTCAGGCAAAGTGGGGTTAATTTTCTTGCCCAAGGACACAATGACAGCAGTCATCAGTGGGAGTCGTGAAGTGGGACTTTCAAGCTCTAAGTCCAATGCTCTAACAACTGAGCCACTGTCGCCCCCTTTTTTAACCATATATTTTCTAATTTAGATATGTTTTCACATTCTAAAACATGAAATGACAAAGTAAATATTTCTAAATGGACAAAAATAATGCACAATATTTCTCCTTTAAACCCGTAGGTTCTACCGTTTGGTCCATGCATTGCAATGACATCATCTAATTTCCCCAGTTGATTCATTGCTGTCTTTGACCTACACTTCCTCTGATCTTTTAGCCACACTGTACATTTTTGACATGATGAGAAAGACTCTTGGTGAGCGGGTTCCTGTAGACTGTATGCTACATCTCCTGTCTATTTTGACCTTGTGTGTGGTTATTTTGGCTGCTGCTCCGTCTGACCCGCCTTTCTAATTTGGTGATGAGCTGTAAAGTGACCTGCCTGCCCCCACGGCCAAGCGGCTGGACCAAAAGTGAGATTCCAGGGATTTCCTTACAACTCCTGCGTCGGAGGCATGATACAGAACCCACACCCTAAGCCCATCACGTTTCTCCGTCTGTCACCTCCTCTCCTTCACCGACCAACAAGGAGACTGCTGGCATAGCTCCGTCCCGACTCCATACCCCAGGGTAAGCTGAGACTGTAAG